TTCCTTTAAATTTTTTTGGGGGCCCCAAGAGAGTGGGTCCCTAAGCTGTAGCTTGTTTAGCTTATACGTAAATCCGGCACTGTGCTTTCCTTTGGACCACATCAGTGAGGCCAAGGGGGGTGGTTTTTTGTCTGGGCAGTACCTCCATATACACTGCCCAGGCTTGCACCTCAGAGAGGTCACTTTGGTGCTGCTATTGCAGCAATAACAACACAAGAGGTAACAGTTACGAGTTGCTGGTCTCTGCAGCCACAGCAGGCGCTGTGATTCTCCAAAAGTTTGACTTCGCACCAGAGGCGCACTTCATTGTCTCTCGAGACAGACAGGTGCCAACAATACATACACCTGTGTATGGAGAGGGGGAGAAATGCAAAACAGTCTGTGACAGTTCAAATGAAGTCTAAAGGTGCAAGCAAGGTGACTATTCACAACAGTATCTGCTGATAATACAGTCATCTTAAATTGCTAATAATCTAAGATGGCTTAAATGCTCTTCAAAGGCATATGGTAGCTTTTCTCAATTAAAATAATTTTGCTCTGTAATAGTTCTATTTACGTTGCTCAGATATCACAATCATAAGAACACTTTCAAACAGGCGCCATTGAATACACTGGGGTTTGCTACTAAAAGAGGTCAGAGTACTTTTCCTGTTTTGAACTTTTGCACTTAGGGGGGGAAAGGTAATTAAAAGACACTCATTTGCACCTCCAGCACCCCCCTGTCACTTTGTGCTCCCCTAGATACAGTGGTGCCCCGCAAGACGAATGCCTCGCAAGACGGAAAACCCGCTAGACGAAAGGGTTTTCCGTTTGCGATGCACTTCGCAAGATGAATTTCCCTATGGGCTTGCTTCGCAAGACGAAAATGTCTTGCGAGTCTCGCCATTTCCCCCCCACTTCCCCCCCCTTTTTCTAAGCTGCTAAGCCGCTAATAGCCTTTTAGCAGCTAAGCCTTTAATAGCCACTAAACCGCTAATAGCGCTAATCCTCTTAGCCGCTAATGGGGTTGCTTCGCAAGATGAAAAAACCGCTAGACGAAGAGAATCGTGGAACGGATTCTTTTCGTCTTGCGAGGCACCACTGTAATTGCACCGCCATTAAGGGTTGGCACCTACTTTGGGAACCACTGGGTTAGTAGCAGACTAGAACCTGGGAGACCAGGGTTCAAATCCCCACTCATCCAAGAAGCTCACTGGGTGACCTTGGGCCAGTCACTGCCTCCCAGCCTAACCTACCTCACAGGGTTGTTGTGAGACGGAAACAGGAAGGAAGAAAACTATGTATAGCTCCTTGGAAGAAAGGTGGGGTTGCAATGCAATGCAATGCAATGAATAAATGGTGACAGGTGACTAATAAATGGTGGATTACATACTGAAATTCCATGATTTTGTTTCGTTGACATTTCTAAGAATTTGGGTTGGCAGGAGAGCGAAATCCGATCACAATGTTAAAAGCTCATCATGCAGTCGAAACAGGTTTTTATTTTATTTTATTTATTGTATTTCTATGCCACTTTTCATTCAAATGAATCTCAAAGTGGCTTACAAGCAATAAATAACATTAGCATAACAAGACATAATTTGTTGTTGTTGTTTAGTCGTTTAGTCGTGTCCGACTCTTCGTGACCCCATGGACTAGAGCACGCCAGGCACCTCTGTCCTCCACTACTTCCCGCAGTTTGGTCAAACTCATGCTGGTAACCTCGAAAACACTATCCAACCATCTCGTCCTCTGTCACCCCCTTCTCCTTGTGCCCTCCATCTTTCCCAGCATCAGGGTCTTTTCCAGGGAGTCTTCTCGTCTCATGAGGTAGCCAAAGTATTGGAGCCTCAGCTTCAGGATCTGTCCTTCCAGTGAGCACTCAGGGCTGATTTCCTTAAGAATGGATGCGTTTGATCTTCTTGCAGTCCATGGGACTCTCAAGAGTCTCCTCCAGCACCATAATTCAAAAGCATCAATTCTTCGGCGATCAGCCTTCTTTATGGTCCAGCTCTCACTTCCATACATCACTACTGGGAAAACCATGGCTTTAACTATACGGACCTTTGTTGGCAAGGTGACATCTCTACTTCTCAAGATGCTGTCTAGGCCTGTCATTGCCTAATAATAAAACATAATAAAATACAAAACATAATAAAACATCACAAATACAGTATACATTATATAAAATAACAAATAACAGTGTTTTTTGTATTGTAATTTATTAACAAAACAAAAACTAAAAAAATAAGCTAATCACTACTTTTCTTTTTCGACAAAGTAATAATAAATAAATAAATAAATAAATAAAAATAAAAATGTGCACCCCACCACTGAGACCATTCCACTGTAACTATCCAACCTCTCAGAATTTCAACACCTCTTACGATTGTTTGACCCCTTTCCATTTTAACAGTACAAATTCAACAAATATCTTCCGTATCTCAAAATAATTTCTCCTGCATATCTAACCTTAATAGCACATGTCCCACACCTCTTCACACAGTTCTTCCATCACATGACAGCAAGTCATGATTAACAAATCCATACGGAATTTAAATATCTATAAAGCAGCATATGAACAACATTAACAAAATAGCAACTAAAAAACAACCTTAGCGCCTTCAAGATCACACACACGCACTCCAGGCTTCCTCAACCTTGGCCCGCCAGATATTTTTGGCCTACAACTCCCATGATCCCTAGCTAGTAGGACCAGTGGTCAGAGATGATGGGAATTGTAGTCTCAAAAGCATCTGGAGGGCCGAGGTTGAGGAAGCCTGCTTTACATCATGACTCATAACCTTTGACTAAAAGAGCAAAATCAAGAGGTATGGGGCAGGGCAGAGCTCACAGCAAGGGCTGATGGGAAATGTAGTCCAAAGAACCCATAGCCCTCTGGCGGCGGGTTGAGGGGTTGCATGAATAAAGCAACGCTTCTTGCCGTGCTTGGCTGAGGCAGGTGACGCCACGGCTGGGTCAGCGGTGAAGCCCGAACGCGGGCCTGCAGGCGACGGCCATGGCCGGGCGCTTCCTCCGGCTGCTCTTCAGGAGCAAGTAAGGAGCGGGGCGGGAGAAGGGAAAGAGTCAAGAGGTGCCGGCCAAAGCGAAAGAAAGGGCGCCGCCGCCACCATTATTCCCTCTCGGGAGGGAGGGGTGGACCAGCCGAACCCGCAGGGGCGAAACGCCCCTTTCCCCCTCTCCTTTTGGGGAAATTGGTTTCTCCCACCAAGGAGCGCCCTCAGCCTTGGGGACCGTACTAACTAGGCATGGAAGGGGGGGGGGGGAGAGAAGAGATAAGCCTGGGAAAAGTAGGGAGAAGTGTGCAAGGTGTACATTTCATTTCGACCCTTGTTCTCCACCCCCAGAAAACCCAAGTCATTGCTCCCTAAATAAACTCAGAAACGAGTTTGCGCTAGAAATCTATTAGTCTTGCTATATTTCTCCTGGTTGCAAAATTAGGAATGTAGGAAGAAAAAGCTCCCCATTGCAAACAATGAGGAGTTGTGTGAGTTTTATAGCGTAGCTGAAATAACTGGGCAGCAGCATGTGACTCCCCCCTTCCCCCAGCCAACCATTTCATAACTGCATTGCAATTTTGCTTCCCACTTTTTTCTCCAAAGGAAGCCCAAGGTGGCGTTAAATAGTTCTCTTCCCCCTTCCTCGTTGAACCCTCCACAACAACCCTGTGAGGCAGGTTAGGTTGAGAAGCAGCGGCTGGCCCAGCCAGAAAAGGCTGGGCCTTGCAGCAACACATCTTGTAAAGGTAAAGGGACCCCTGACCATTAGGTCCAGTCGTGGCCGACTCTGGGGTTGCGGTGCTCATCTCGCTTTATTGGCCGAGGGAGCTGGCGTACAGCTTCCAGGTCATGTGGCCAGCATGACTAAGCCGCTTCTGGCGAACCAGAGCAGCACACGGAAACGCCGTTTACGTTCCCACTGGAGTGGTACCTATTTATCTACTTGCACTTTGATGTGCTTTCAAACTGCTAGGTTGGCAGAAGCAGGGACCGAACAACGGGAGCTCACCCCGTTGCGGGGATTCGAACCGCCGATCTTCTGATTGGCAAGCCCTGGGCTCTATGGTTTAACCCACAGTGCCACCTAACACATCTTTTACCCATGTAAAAACACACAGAGAAGAACCCTGCTGGATGAGGCCAAAGGCCCATGATATTCTAGCCCAGTATCCTGGGATCGCAGCAGCCAACCAGATGGCATTCCTGCAAGTGGGATGTGAGCGCAAACAGTATCTGACCCCCAGGGAGGGCATACTTTTTTTAAAAAATTTAGTGCATTCATTGATATCCAAACTAGCCTCAAGTCATGCAAGGTGCTTCAGCTGCCTTCTCCCCATTTTATCCGGTAGGTTAGGTTAGGTCAGCTGAGTAGAGATTAGAAACCGCCGCCCCCGTCTCCCTGATCTTAAGCCAGCACTCTAACCACTGCACCACACTGACCAATGGACGTCTACTTGGAAATAAGCACCATCGAGTTAAGTGGAGACTTCCTCCGATATAAAATGTGCATAGGCTTCCTAACTCGGGTCTTCTTTCTTATGGCGGTGGGCTTTTTTTAAAACAATAGTTTTAAACGAATATATTTATTTGACCTGATTCTAATAATCAAATCTCACCCCCCTCCCCAATATGGAGCTGCTTTTTTGCGGAAGGGGGGAGATCACAGAACTGTAGAGTTGGAAGGGATTCCTAAGAGCCATCTAGTCCAACCCCTTTGCAATGTAGGAATCTCAACATGCTGCCATCCAATTCGAAACCATACCGGACTCTGCTTAGCTTTTGCAAACCTGCTAGCAGGTTTTTTTTATTGCTGGTGGAGGGCAGGCCGCTATTTCGTCACAATTCCGCTAGAACTGAGCTCGTTTGAGCAGCTCCCGCTTTTTGCAGGAGAAAAGGATGAATGGAAGTGGGTTAGATTCCAGTACGAACTCGGAAAGTGATCATGCGGAGGGTAGCTTGGACTCCTCTGCATTCCCCCCCCCCTCCATATCTCTTGCCTCTAAAACAAGAGTGACTGACGGCACATCCTTTCCCCTCATTCGCCCCGCCCCCCTCGCGCGCCCATTGGTGCTTGGGTTGAAATTTTCGCGCGCGAGAGGGAGGCGGTTAGGCGGGGGAGGAGAAAAGCGCGGGCTTTTCTTCTTCATTCTCCTCAGGATTAACCGCCTCTCCTTATCTCCGTTTCTCCCGCCTTTTTGTCTCTCTCTCTCTCTCTTTTTCGCGCGCCCAACATGCCTTGTTCTGAAGCGGACCTCGCCTCTTCCCCCAGCAAGAGGCCAAAGGTCTCCGGCAGCGAGGCGCCCGGCGAGAAACTCCGCTTCTCCAAGCTGTCGGAAAACGCGTCCGCTCCTTCCAAGGGCTCCTCCCGGGCTGCGGGCTATGACCTGTACAGGTGAGGGAGAGGGCTTTGGCCCACCGCCGCCGCTAAACAATGGATAAATATATATATATAGAGAGAGAGAGGAGAGAGTTCGAATCCTGCTTTCTTCTCAGCGGTTTTAAAAAAATAAAAAAAATATATAGTGCTCGAATCCTGCTTGCTTCCCAGCGGTTTAACAATATAAAGAAATATATAGTGCTGGAATTCTGCTTGCTTCTCAGAGTCCTTTAAAATGTATAAATCGAGAGTGAGTTCGAATCCTGCTTGCTTCTCAGAATGGTTTAACAATATTTTTAAAAAATAGTGCTTTAATCCTGCTTGCTCCTCAGAGCGGTTCAGCAATATAAAATATATAGTGCTAGAGAATCCTGCCTGCTTCTCAGAGTGATTTAACAGTATTTTTTTTAAAAAAATAGTGTTTGAATCTTGCTTGCTTCTCAGTGTTTTAACAATCCTGGAAAGAGCCTTTTTCACTTTTAAGATCAAGGTGGAGAGAGAGTTACCACAACCCATTTATCAAGGTCAGGAGTCGGTGCATTCAGCCCCACACCTGCTATTTGTGTCTTTAAGAGGACTGGGTGAATTAGTGGTGGATCAGGCTAAGGCAGCCCTGTATAGGGAAGCTTTTAAATGTTTGTTTCGGTATATGCTGGAAGCTGCCCAGAGTGGCTGGGTCAACTTAGTCAGATGGGCAGCGTGGAAATAATAAAAATATTTTATTAAAAATTTATTTGGTTTTTCAAATTAAAATTTTACAAAGATATATCAGACATAAATCATAAAAACAAGATTCCAAGGAATCTCCTGGGCTTCCACCCTTCCCTTTGTGCGTCCTATTATTAATCATTTCCTCCTGCATCTTTTATGATGATCCACATCTTTTACATCTCCATTGTGTCCAGAATTCATCCTTAAACTACAAGAGGGATTCCAATCCCCTGAACAATTTCACAAGTAGGGGTTTTCCAAATGAAACAAATCCCATCCCTGAATTCCTGGAATTTTGGCTAAATTGCTTCTTTCTCCTGCAGTCATTAGCTATGGGTCTGTCACAAAAAGATACTTATTATTTAACTGTATTGTTTTGCATTTCCTCACAGTGGTGCTTAAGGTGGCTAATAGCTGGGGGGTCTCCGCACCCAACCCCGTAATTCAGGCACTCCTCAAAACCTGCTTGAGAGACACAGGGTCATATAGCGCAAAGTGACTTCATTTTCATGTGCCAGGAGGCAGGCTTTAGTGCAAAACAGTAGCGTTGAGCACCCCTTTTAGATTGCTAACCTGGTGTCACTATCTTTATACTGCAATTATCTAGGACAATTTAGTCTTCAATTTATTTTAATTTTTATTTGCACTCAGGACCTATCCTTATCTCCACCTTCCACCATGCAACCCAATCGGAAATGTTTACAGCCCGTACAATTCCTTGTTTTTCAGAGCTAGAGTGACCAGATGGAAAATACCTTGAGTATAAAAGGGATTTTTGACACATGTGATTCATCACATTCTGGGGCCAAATGGCAGAGGAAGGGCATTCCCTTCAGGCATTGTGAGCTCCCAGAACACCTGGCTGGTTATGCCTAGAAATTGAATGCGGGTGTGATGGTCATGCTTAACAAGGTAATTGCTATTTCTTCTGGTAATAACATAAATTTGCTTGCTTTTCTAGTGCATATGACATTGAAATCCCTGCTTCAGGGAAGGCTGTAGTGAAAACAGACATTCAGATTGCCCTTCCTTCTGGATGTTATGGTCGAGTGGGTAAGTTGCAAAACAGAAAGCTTCTAATCTTGCAAATTGCTTCTTAAGACTATTCTCCTGAGAACTATGGAATAAGAATGTAAATTCTCTAGGTAGTTCCTGGAAATGATCTGCAAAACCTGCAGGAGTACATTAGTTCTATAGTCCCTTGTATTGAATAAGTACCATATTTTTCCACCTATAAGATGCCCCATGTATAAGACTCCCCCTATTTTGGGGGACTCAGATTTAAGAAAATGGAAGAGGTATCAGTGTATAAGGCCCCCTAATTTTTGACATTGTTTTTTTTAGGAAAAACCCTAGTCTTATACACAAAAAAATAAGAAAAATACTTATGGGTTTGCAGCCTAGGGTAACTTTTTAGTAGCCTCTCTTAAAGCTTTCTTTAGCAGCCATATTAATAAATTGATTTATGTAAAACTAAATTTGGAACACCTTAATTTTTATGTATCTGAAGCCTGGTTTTTTTGTTGCTTTGCATTTGGAAATCTGATAATTATACAAATGCCACCCATAAAGTCCAGTCCTTAAATTTGTTGGGTCTGCAAATACAATTTTCTCTTTGGAAATCAGTTAAAGACTTCTTGTCCAGTTACATAAGTGGTGAATTGTGATAGCACCATGATCACTATTTCTAGCTGGTCCAACAATGCTTACCTCTTTCCAGGGTTGCCTCCCTTATTGGTTCCATGTTATTAACAGATCAGGGTTTTGGGATGTGATTCTGTAAAACATTTCAGTGGGCATTTAGCTTCAATAAATGAAAGCAAACTTGTGTGTTTCCTTTTGTAGTTGTCCTGAGCTTAGTACCAGCACAGAAGTGAACTCAATTTGAGTTGCAGCTTGCTTCAACACATCATTTGTATTCCAGTCCTTCAAGAATTTTTGTATATGCTTAACGTCCTTGTATGATTGCAGTACCTTTTTGCTTATATAAGAATGAGTAATAAACCTACACTGATGGGCTAAAATGTTTTTCCCCGCCTTAACTGAAAAGGATTGCAACATACTGAAGAATGTACTGTAGCGGTTTTGTCAAGCAATGTAGGTTTCTACTGAAGTTGGGAATAACCACACCAGATACCATAACACTGAACAAGAAGTGTGGATAGAGCGTTCCTTCTTAATCCTAGCTACCTTAACCAAGTTAGCCATGTCCATATGTGTCACTTAATAATGCTCACTAGTGTGAGTGCAGCCATGCAAACAATTATTCTAAATGCAAGACAGCTCTCTTATTAAAGCCATTTTAGAAGAAGAAGAAGAATTTGGATTTGATACCCCGCCTTTCACTCCCTTTAAGGAGTCTCAAAGTGGGTCCTCCCCCACAACAAACACTCTGTGAGGTGAGTGGGGCTGAGAGACTTCAAAGAAGTGTGACTAGCCCAAGGTCACCCAGCAGCTGCAGGTGGAGGAGCGGAGATGCGAACCCGGTTCCCCAGATTATGGGACTACCGCTCTTAACCACTACACCACACTGGCTCTCTTTGTGTTTTATTTTATTGCTGAAAGAAACTATATAATGCTGTTAATTGAAACATTTTAGAAATATTTGTGAAATGTGAAACTATTAGTATTGAACAACTTGCCATGGAGGTACATTTTACAAAAAAATAGTTTTGATTTTTTGTTTTAAAAAACTATTTTCCTTTCTTTTTGTTTAGCTCCTCGCTCTGGTTTAGCCGCAAACCACTTCATAGATGTTGGCGGTAAGTCACTTGTTTCTTACACATTTTAACACTTGATGGCTTTATCATATACCAGTATATGATAGTAGAAACATATATTGTTGAAAGTGACAGCTGGGTTCACAAGCAGTTGAGACATCTAATATGGCTAATTTGTAGATGGAATAAATCAGATCTCTATCCTAGGTGTTTGCATCCTCAGTCAAATGAGGTTTAGCTTCACGCTACTTTGCAGGAATAGAAGTTTGCTTCATAAAACCTTTAACTGGCTTGTTCTAATATTATTTCCACCGCAGCTGCAACTGCCACTCAACACAAGCCTTCAACAAACTACTTTAGCTGTTTCAGTAGAGCATGAAATTAACATGGGTTTGACATTTATGCTGCTATGTGTACCATAACCCTAGATTCATAGCTTTAGTTGCAAAATACTGCAAAATCTCATTACTGTGGTGATTTTTAGGTAGTCCCTGAAGCATATACTCTCATGAGGCTGTGAGGTGCCCAAAGACCCTGAGGCATGTTTTACTTCATAACATTTTCAACTTAAAGGAAGCACATGTTATATGCAACATTTGTGTCTTGGGTATAACAAATTGGAGAGAATTTAGTGCTGAATTACCAGGGGACCACGTGGAGTTGAGGTGGGAAATACACTTTATGCTACATACCCACATCTAACTTGGCCCCATTTTGACCATTCAATTTGCATATCTTTGTCATTGCAATAACTTCACTGGTGGGAGATCCTTCGAAATTCTGTTTTCCTCAGCAAAACTTTTAAAACTGCCAGTAATAATATGCAAACTCTGATAAAGAGTTTGCTTAGGAAATAGAGTACCAGATGTTGTGTCTAGAGAGGAGAAATATAGATCTTGATAAGTAAAGGTGTTTATTTAAGACATCAATTTAGTTTCTAGAAAATATCCTACTTAGTACTTACTTGAATAGTTCATTAGTGTTACTTCAGCCACACATTGAATATTTGGAATAGCTGGTTCTTGTTATATGTAGTCTTTGCAGTTGAATAAATTAACATACCGTAATTCCAGAGAACTCTTCTAACTTATTTTAAATGCATACAAATTAAGAATAAATTCTGAATGCTAGTTTAAACATTACAATTGAGTTTGACTATCTCCTGCTTTTTGTTTTGCTCCTGTATTAAAATCTTGGGAAATTCCTAATGCGTATGAATAGTTGAAGGTTATTGTAATTCTGAAAAAGCCATTATGGAAGTTTCCATAATCTGCATGTGTGTGCTTTTGGAATGAAGGATTTCAACAAAATGTATATTGTTAATCTGGCAGGGAGAGTACAGATTTTCATTTTATTGCTTAATATTCTTGACACCCACAATGAACTACCGCGGGTTGCACGTTTTTGGGTTACGGACTGCGCCGAACTCGGAAGTACCGGAACGGGTTACTTCCAGGTTTTGGCGCATGCGCAGAAGTGCCAAATCACGTCGTGTGCGCAGACACGGCGGGTTGTGAACGTGCCTCCTGCCTGGATCACGTTCGCAACCCAAGGTTCCACTGTATCTGTATTCTGTTACATGGTTTTATTTGGTTTGCTGTTAAATTCCTTGAGCAGCCCAGTATTAACTACTTTAGCTGCTTTGACACAAGTAGAGGGAAATAGGAAAGAGCTGTCTACTTGTTCTGAACTTCCCTTGCTGTAGCTTTTGCTAATTTGTATTAATATAGTCGTACCTCCGTTTACGTAACCCTCTGGTTATGTAAACTTCGGGATGCACGCATGGGAAACCCGGAAGTATTTTACTGGGTTTCGCTGCATGTGCAGAAGCGGTCCTCAGGTTGCGGAAACCTCAGGATCTGACTGGACCTTCAGAATGGATCCTGTCCGCAACTGGAGGTACCACTGTACAGTACTGAGAAGACAAGGCTGTTTATATAAGAACTGCCAGCAGTGGCTCCCTTCACGCCCCTCTTTAAAGTAAAATTGTAACAATACTACACTATAAATGGCCTTTATGACCATTTGAAACTAACTGCAAGCTTGAGACTGGAGTTTTGATATTGAACCAGTACTGTTGTATTAAACCTGGTTAAAGAAAGAATACTTTATTAAACTGGAAACAAGTTATCCGGCCTGAACTCTTCCCCTCACATTCTACTGTGGTTTGTAATTTGGCATTAAGCAATAATTGCCTGTTTTGGGTGTAACATAAAACAGTGGTTTAAAGCAGGTGGGAAACCTGCGCCCTCCAGATGTTGGAAGACTGCAACTCATGATCTTTGGTGGAAGTTGGAGTCCAGCAACATCTGGAGAGCCTGATTTAAAGAGACTAGGCCTGAAGCATCAAAGCTAGCCAACAAGGATGAAGGTAAGCATGCAGACCCAGTGCCCTTTCTTGTCTTGAGCCATAAATGTTGCATCTGAACTAGCCCACTTCAGTGTGATACAGGTTGCATCCCAATCAGTTTCTTATTTCAATATTCAGGTGTTCCTAGCAGTCAAGTAAAAGGTGGAATTCCTTAATAAATGTATAATGAAAAACATCTACTTTCTTACATTACCTGATGTTATATATTACAGCTGGGGTTATTGATGAGGATTACAGAGGAAATGTTGGTGTTGTACTATTTAACTTTGGAAAGGAACCTTTTAAAGGTAAGAATTAAACTTACCTGAACTTTGTAGCTTTTTAAAAAAGCTTTCTCTTTTATTGTGTCCTTTTTAGAAACATGTAAACATTCCAGTCCTCAATATGAAAGATCTAATGTAGTTTAAAACTTTGAGCTGGTTGCGGTCTTATTTTAGACTTCGTGATTCATTTACAAAAGGAGTTTCAAGATTCTAGGGTTGTGTAGTCGGCCTGGTCTGTATTTTAGAGGATGACCATTCTTCCTGGAGTTTAAGAAGCATCTCTAAGGAAAAGTAAATAGCAGAACTTCTCTACAGTATTTGCTTTGTGTTTTCAGTTTCAATTTTTGCTACAGCTAGTGTGTGAGGTGAGAATATTCTCTGCTAGAAAATTCTCCAGAGAATATTCTCCACAAACGGTAAATTCTAATGTAAGAACCAGTTTTACAACCCATATTTAAAAGATATAGTAAATAATAAGTCAAGCTGTGATATTACCAGTGTAAGTAATAAATAATATTTTTTTTAGTCCAGTTACATTACTGGGCATTGTGTCATTCACGATTGGAAGTTCTGAGATGTGAGCTACAGAAAACATTTTTATTTTAGTTTTTAGTTTTAAAAATGCTATTCATTTAATTTGATGAACAATTGAATTTGTATGTATTTCAACTATATGTAATAGCCCTTTTTCTATTTTGGTGTGACTTTATTCTTATCAATTCTGTACCCTTGGCCATACAGTTTTTTGTTGTTGTTTTTTACAGAAAGTAGCTTTAATGCTTTATACACTTAAAGTACCTAGGCCTATACAGTTATGCATAACAGCATGTGAGGTGGTCTTGATTTAAACAGTTGACATTTCTTTATTTTTATTTTTCGAAGAATGTGAATTCACTGTATTGCCCCATTGAATAAAAGTATCTATACGGTTTTTGATTGCCATCTGAATAAGTTTATCCATGAATAAACATGTATATTAACTAATTATATAATTTTCAATGCATTAAAATGAATATTCTATTTTAAATGAAAATTCTCTAATATTCTCATTCGAGAATATTCTCCAAAAGATTATTCTCAAGAATTTAACATCACTAGCTACAGCAGCAAATGACTGCTCCAGATGTTATTAAAAACATTAGAGTTTGTGGTGAAACAAAACTCCACTTCAGTAATACATCTAGTTAAATACTTAATCAGAATGATACATAGTGATGTATTAAATTGAAGTTGGATTACGGAACAGGATGCAGGCAGCATTGCTAAGCAAATTTAGGTCTAGTCAGTGATTGGGAGGACTGAATGAGGGTAGGTTGGTTTTAAATCAGAATTTAAATTGCCAAGAAAAAAGACTGATTTTAAATCATGTTTTCTTCTAAAATTAATAGTTGGTTCACACAGACACGCTAACTGGCTGTATAGCTGTTAAAACATCGGTTTACAACTGTAATGGTGGCTAATTCAAAACTTTTGATTACGTAGCTCACACGTACTGCGTAAATATATATTCTTAGTAAGGAACCATAGAATTGCAGGATAAATAATTTATATTGCAGTTTTCCTAAAGTATTGATACTATGAATTCTTAAACCCTTTTTACTTTGGCTTTGAAGTTAAAAGGGGGGATAGGATTGCCCAGCTGATCTGTGAGCGCATCTACTATCCTGAGCTTGAAGAAGTCCAGGTAAGGAATACTTTGTATCCACAGCTGATTTATTCTTTTTAAAAGGAAGGAGAGGAATTAAATCCTGCTTGCTACTGAATTATACTTTAGCACAAGTTTGTCATTCACTATCCACTGCATTTTATTAATTTTGTACCTAAACATGAAATATATTGTGGTGGTCACATGATTTTCAAAATTATAGAACAAGAGACAATGACTTTGAAAAATTAATCACATATCTATCTTTTAGGTTTTGGATGAAACAGAACGTGGCTCAGGAGGTTTTGGATCAACTGGCCAGAAATAAGGATAGCTGTTACTTGTAGTAAATGATTTCATTTCCCTTGTTTTTGTATAGAGCATTTTTGTATAAATAAAACTTCTTTTGGTAGACTTGCTTTGTGTTCATAAAGAGTTGCTGAAGTTACAACCATTATTCAAAGAAAATAACTTGAATATGTGTTACAGCATACTATTCTCTGCCCACTTATGTTCAGTAGGTGTCAATATCATGCTAGTAGAGGGCAGAGGAATTTTTCAAGTGAAAACTATTAAGGACTACAAAAGGCACTTGAAGCTCTTCACAGAATTACTTACAAAATAATCAGTGAAGTCAGAACAAAAAAACAGTTTATAAAATCACACTTAAAATAAAGACTGAAACAAGAAGCAAAGAAAATAATAAAATGATCACCTAGCAAATGCCTAGAATATGAACGACTCTAATCTAAAAGCCACACGGGTGGCGCTGTGGGTTAAACCACAGAGCCAAGGACTTGCTGATCAGAAGGTCGGCGGTTCGAATCCCCACGATGGGGTGAGTTCCCGTTGCTTGGTCCCTGCTCCTGCCAACCTAGCAGTTCGAAAGCACGTCAAAGTGCAAGTAGATAAATAGGCACCACTCCAGTGGGAAGGTAAACGGCGTTTCCGTGTGCTGCGTTGGTGCTGGCTCGCCAGAGCAGCTTCGTCACACTGGCCACGTGACCCGGAAGTGTCTTCGGACAGCGCTGGCTCCCGGCCTCTTAAGTGAGATGAGCGCACAACCCTAGAGTCTGTCAAGACTGGCCCGTACGGGCAGGGATACCTTTACATATCATTTTTAAGGGACGTGGGTGGCGCTGTGGGTTAAACCACAGAGCCTAGGACTTGCTGATCAGAAGGTCGGCGGTTCGAATCCCCGCGACCGGGGTGAGTTCCCGTTGCTTGGTCCCTGCTCCTGCCAACCTAGCAGTTCGAAAGCACGTCAAAGTGCAAGTAGATAAATAGGTACTGCTCCGGCGAGATGGTAAACTGCGTTTCTGTGCGCTGCTCTGGTTTGCCAGAAGCGGCTTAGTCATGCTGGCCACATGACCCGGAAGCTGTACGCTGGCTCCCTCGGCCAATAAAGCGAGATGAGTGCCGCAACCCCAGAGTCGGTCACGACGACCTAATTGTCAGGGGTCCCTTTACCTTTACCTAATCTAAAAGCCAACAGTGATGCCGATACGTCTAGGGAGGCTATTATATAATGGGACACCACAACATAAATGGTCCTATTCCTGGGTGCAACAGACCTGATCCACATCTCTCAAACTAATATGCAAAACAGAACTTGCTCATCAGGTTTTGTGCTCCCCCCCCCCCCCCCCAGTTCTTGACTCAAAATGCAAATAATTGAGAGGAAAATGTTTAGGAATGCATGCGATTTATGTCTGAGTCCTTAATTGACCACCTGACTCGCTTTTTGAGAAACAACTAAGTGTTTATAATCTGCTTTCACCAATACTTTGTTACTTCAGAATAGAAATGAACATTAAGAAGAGAGGCAATATTCAACAATCACAGAATCCGTAAAACAATTCCAACAAGCAGATTAACATCTTCATAATGAAATGAACAAAACAGCAGTGAGGAGAACAATTAGAATTTCCAATTAAACCAAATGCCTGTTAAATGAAAACAGGATATCCAGATGACTTTAGCAACAGTTCTCAACCCCTATCTCCTCCGGGCTGGCCCACTCATGTCCCCTTTCTCTACCAACAGACTTTCCAGCCCATGTTTCCAGAAAACACATTCCAGAAAACTGCCTTTCTCCATATCAGTTGAAGGCCCAAATGCAGACAATTCCAACAAAGAAAAGTGGGAGACATCTAAGGGAACCAGCTGCATAAGGAGTTTACAGATGAGCTGAGATGTAAGAAGGGCATGTACAAGAAATGGAAGAAAGTGGAAATTACAAAGGAGCAGTATATACGAGTAGCCAACAGTTGCAGGGTGAAGGTCAGGCTGGCTAAAGCTCAGAATGAGTTTGTGCTTGCAAGAGAGGTTAAACATAATTAAAGGTTTCTTCAACTGTCAGAAGCAAGAGGAAGAACAAGCAAGTGTTAGGTCGTTGCATGGAGAAATGCTGTTGGGTGACAGAGAAGGTGGAACTACTCAACACCTATTTTGCCTCTGTCATCACCTGAAAGGAAAGCGATGCTCAACCTGGTGATAACCAAATAAATGATGTAAGGCGGGAGCTGCAGCCCAAGACAGGAAAAGAGGCAGTAAGGGAACATCTAGCTTAAGTGAATTCAAATCCCCAGGACCTTTAAGAAGGATGTTGACAAGCTGGAATGTGTGCAAAGGAGGGCAACCAAGATGATTAAGGGTCTGGAAACCAAGCCTTATGAGGAACGGTTTAAGGAGCTGGGTATGTTTAGCCTGGAAAAGGAGATATGATACCCATGTTCAGCTATGTCATGGGCTGACACATGGAAGAGGGAACAAGCTTGTTTTCTTCTGCTCTCGAGGGTAGGACTCAAACCCGTGACTTCAAGTTACAGAAAGGAGATTCTGACTAAAACTCAGGAATAACTTTCTGACAGAGCTGTTCAACAGTGGAGCAGTCTCCTGGAGGTTGTGGAATTTCCTTGGAGGTTTTTAAGCAGAGGTTGGATTGCCATCTGTCATGGATGGTTTAGTTACAGTTCTGCATTGCAGGGGTTGGACTAGATGACCCTTGGGGTCCCTTCAAACCCTACAACTCTATGATTCTATGAATTAAGACTAGCTGCTGAGCATCATGTACCTTTTTTCAGCTAATGCTAAAGGAAAGCATCTTAAATTATTCCTACCTGATAGACAAAACATTTTACTTTATGATTCATGTTTCAAAACCTATTTTAGAAAGTTAGTATTTTGTTGAAGAGAAACTGCAGAACCCATGCCAGGAAGGATCTGGGAAAAGTCCATCTACCTCAATGGGAAAGTAATGCTTTCAAGTTCACCTCAAGCTGAACTTTTCCAGTATAAACACTGAAGAATTATTAAGCTTTCTAACTGCTCTTGTTTCCCAGTGGCTTCCAAGTGCATCCTGCTGAACTAGCAGCCTAGCAATATTTTACTTATGTCAGCATTTAATTTTGTCATCCTGAGCCACCACAGTGTAAAGAGTTGAGAAAACAAATAACTTAAAACATGACTTAACTGTAAATATACAAAATATAAACCAACAGATAACATTGCTTTTTAACCGGCATGGGCAGTCTGAGAATCAAAGGAAACAAAACTGTATACAGCTAGGTCTAATTTCCAATATTATTACCATCTACAGATCTTTAGCTCAAACCAATGTGCAAATGATTAACAATGGGGGGGGTACTGCAGAGGGACAGGTTTATGAACTAGCGTTTTTATTTTAATACATTTTTATCCTGCCTCTCCTCAAAAGAGTCCACAGTGACATACATGGTTCTCCCTATAGTGTATCTGACACAACTTTTTATGGGGTAAGACAGGGAAGATTTGAACCTTGGCCTCCCCAGCCCTAGTTTAATACTTGACTGCTACCCTTTGTCATATCATGGCTGTTAAAAGACCTTGCAAGTTCTTCTGCAGTGCTGGTTTACAAAGCTGTCCCTTTGCACCTAAGCTTGATTATACTTGTATAGTTTTCAATACAATACAGTGGTACCTTGGGTTACATACGCTTCAGGTTACATACACTTCAGCTTAAAGACTTGGCTAACCCAAAAATAGTACCTCGGGGTTAAGAACTTTGCTTCAGGATGAGAACAGAAATCGTGCTCCAGGGGCACGGCAGCAGCAGGAGGCCCCATTAGCTAAAGTGGTGCTTCAGGTTAAGAACAGTTTCAGGTCAAGAATGGACCTACAGAACGAATTAAGTACTTAACCCTAGGTAAAAAGGTAAAGGTACCCCTGCCCGTACGGGCCAGTCTTGACAGACTCTAGGGTTGTACGCCCATCTCACTCGAGGCCGGGGGCCAGCGCTGTCTGGAGACGCTTCCAGGTCACGTGGCCAGCGTGACATCGCTGCTCTGGTGAGCCAGAGCCGCACACGGAAACGCCGTTTACCTTCCCGCTAGTAAGCGGTCCCTATTTATCTACTTGCACCCGGGAGTGCTTTCGAACTGCTAGGTTGGCAGGTGCTGGGACCGAACAACGGGAGCGCACCCCGCCGCGGAGATTCGAACCTCCGGCCTTTCGATCGGCAAGCCCTAGGCGCTGAGGCTTTTACCCACAGCGCCACCTGCGTCCCTTAACCCGAGGTACCACTGTATATATATATATATTAATGTAAATTAAGCCATCTCACTTCATAACCTGTTCTTTAATATTAACCATTTTGCCCAATGAATAGATGAATGATTGTGACCCTCCCAGCTGAATGTAGCCCTCTAGTCATGTATGGTGAGCTGCTAGTTGCTGGACATGCTGTTTTTGCATTCCTAAACAGGCAGCAAAAGTAGTAGCAGGCTGGGTGTCTCTTCTAGTATAGCAAATGAACCACTAGATGGCACTTTAAGCCCTTTCTTTTAACATTGCACACACTTCTGCAAAGGAATCCCCCGCCCCACCCCCAAAGATCTTTTTGTATGTAATTAATCATTGATAACTCCCAATGGGACTACATTGATGGAAAGCAACATGCAACAATAGTTGAGTGAAAGCTGGCAAAAGCATAATGTCAAGGAGGGGAACAATGTCCATAATTGAAATAAGATTTGGAAGGTTGAGCCTTTTGTACAATCACTTCTGGCATAGGAGAGAAGCCTGCGGGTTCTTTCCCCTGCTGGGTTTCAACACAAATGGAAAATTGCAATGAAGAGAAATGTTACCACCCCACCCCCAGCTTTCAACTGCTTTTCTCCTTTAACTTCTGTGTTGTCATGATACTGAATATGTTCAACCCCTGCACGTTAAACTAATCTACTTACAGAAACATGGCAGAGTTATGAGAATCCTTATGAATATTTCTCAATTTCTGTATTGGCTGGGACTCTTGTAACTACTCAGACAGGTACTTAGTGTCTGCTGTCATTGTGTTTTGGCTTCAGGACAGTTAAATGAGCTTCAGTATTAAGTAAACTTCTATGACCCTGCCAATTTCCTGCCCCGTCAAATAT